CGATGCGTTTTCCCACGTCCTGAGAGAGTTAAATAGTCTCCTTCGAGAGAAGGAGTGCTTCTTGCGAGTGGAAAGCTGGTCTTAGGGGAAAAGGGAGGATGGGGAAGGGAAAGGGAAGGGAAAGGGAAAGGGAAAGGGGAAGGGGAAGGGGAAGGGGAAGGGGAAGGGAAGGGAAGGGAAGGGAAAGGGAATGGAAAGGGAAGGGGAAGGGGAAGGGAAAGGCAAGGCAAGGCAAGGCAAGGCAAGGAAAGGAAAGGAAAGGAAAGGAAAAATGAAGAAGGGAAAGGAAAAATGGAGAAAGATAAAAAAGGAAAATGAGAAAAGAAAAAAAAAGGAAAAAGAAAAGAAAAACAAAAAAAAAAAAGAAAGAGGGGGGGAAGTCCTAAGAGTTTCAGATGAAATCTCTGAGATATGACCAGCATATAAGCATTTCTAGCATTCATAAATGTGTTGCTGCAGACCTGTAAGGAAGGCATCTGGTCGTTACATAGTTCTCATTTTATAATAATAAACTAAAATTAGAAAGTCACTAAGTTTCTTCAGCTGTGGTTCAGAAACAGGCCTGAAGAAGGCATGGGTCTCTTCTCTGATAATAGATGAGTTTTGTTACCAGGCAGAAATCAGCATTTACCCTAACCGACAACTCAGCTGTCAAGCAAACTTGGCTTGTTTTCTTGTACTAAGTAGTGCCATTACCTTTCTGCTCCACCTCATCAAAGGGGTTGTATCCATGACTAAAGCGAGCAGGATTTGGCCTCGGCCAGGAAATCTCAGAAATATCTCTAAGAATATTGGAAGTCTCATGGGGTTATATGGTCCCAGTTATTCTTGAAAACAACACATCCAACTGTTTCAATACCTGCCCTGACTACAGGAAAAACCATGTATTGTTCAGCAGAAGGAAGAGTCTTACCTTAACAGTGTAGAAACAGAACATGGCAAATTAATATTGATTTCCTATGCCAGCTTGCTGGACCTGTGGAGGCAGCAGCATGAACCAGGGAAAATGAGCAGTCTGAAGCTGTGAACCAGGTTCTCCCCTCTGTCTCCCTTTGGCCTTCAGTGCTCTTTCTCCTGATTGATGCCACTGTGAGCTAAGAACCAAACCCTTTTTCCAAGTTTTCTTATTATCATCGAAGGATGATGGCTTGGCTAAAGACTTTTAAGCAAAGGGCGGGAAAAGGAGGGACAGACCATCAACATCAAGGCAGTGCCAGAAAATTAAGTGATAATCTAAATGTAAGGAATAAAGGGGGAAAGGAGTCAGGGGTGACGGGGAGGCCCGGTGCTTGGGGCAGGCAGCTGCTCAGAGGGCAGGAGAAGAGGGGAGAAGGGGCTCTGCCTCCTGAGCCGAAACTGCTGCTTAGGAGACAGACTGTTCCTCATCTGCAACTGGGACCGGCGAGGGCAGGCGGGTATGAGGGCTGTCCATGGAGAGGCATCTCCGGGGTTGTGGAGATGGAAATCTTTTTTTTTTTAATTCTGACTAATTTTGTTGCAAAGATGGCAAAGCTTAACATGAGCAAAGGATCAGCATATTATGTCTTCCTAGCACAACCATCCCCTGCCCATGGAAAGCTTTTCTTCCCCATCTCCTTTACAGCCCTGTGTGTCCCTGTGAACTCACAGGGCCAATGTTGACTCCTTCGTGTGCTGGTCGTGGCTGATGTCGAAGCCCA